TGCATGCTTTGATAGCGTTCGGGTGCCCACCATTACTATTAAAGAAAAAGTAGCTCTATGATATGAAAAAAATGACTTTATTTTATCTACTAAATATATGCATACCGTTTGACTTTTCTCGATTTCGGGGAACAACAGCGTTAGGAGGGTCATTCACTGATTGGCTCATTGAATACGTCTACGAGTTGTATATGGGCCAAATAATTGTATAAGACAAACAAAAAGGGTATATCAGGAGGGATGTCGGCCGTAACAAAATCATCACACAACGTAACATCATCATAACTAATTGTGTTGTTAGAAACATCCAAATAAAAGTTGAAGCCATGCTCATGTGCGAACATTAATTGATATCCATTGATTTGTCAAAAGAAACTATCTTTGCCCATGATACACCGCAAAATAAGATCAATAAGATATAATGTGTTAACAATTATATACAGGGTATAGTTAATCAGATCCCAATTTATACGTCAATATGAACTTTATGAACCAATAAATAACTATATAGTAAATTTATTCTTATATTATGTGTATATATGTGACAGTGTGTATGGGCTAACAATCAATTATAAATTCAAACAATAGACTAATTTCTGTAAATTCATAGTCATAGAAGCATACATAAGATATAGCATTACTCCATACCTACTAACAATGTGTACACTCTACAGAAAAATGCTAATATCAACTATACCAAAGTTTGTAAAATACATTCCAACTCATGTAACTACTTTTTGTTATACTATATCTAATCTCCCTTTTACAAATATACATAGTCGAGTAATTAACACCTAACATGATATACAGTTTTATGCATCGTACTTGGTCAGTAACAAAGTGTACATTATTTCAACTAGATTGTACATTCACTAAGTATTTATATATATACATGCTACTTATTGAAGTAAACTACCTATCTACTAAATATTTAATGCATTCTCATAAGCACTAATGGTTAATTTAATAGGTGATTGGAATAAATAACCATCTAGTAAAAACTTTTGATATAATGTCATTGTGAATAACATACCATACATTATGATAAACAAGGTGTATATCACACACCTTATCTAGATAAAATCCTACAAGTTATCAAAAGTTATGCCATACTTTAAAAGCAATTACAAGTAACAAAATTTATACATGTTCAGTCATATCAATAGATTGTAACTTTTAACTCACTTTCTGTATAGTCATAATTTTCGAAGAATCCTTCTTTAGAGATACATGAAAGTATTTCTCAACTATCAGTAATTTATCCAAAAAAATGCTATCAAAAAGTATAAATAGCCACAATCGCTCAAATACCTTGTAATTCTGGTAGAATTTTGTTGTACTCCTTATTTCATTCGTATAATTTACAATGACTCACTTTACTTATCTTTTATCTTTATATGTGTCAGTTTACTATGATGTGAACGTCCATCCACAGGCAGTAATATATTCTAAATTGTATGGTATCACTGCTATCCTACAACAAGAATGAAAAAAGCAAGTAATGATTACCTTCATACTCTTCTTGTTATTTTATATGCCGATAAACTTTCCAAATCATTTAATTCGTCTACTAAGTCAAATTTACAAACACTTGGCATGCATAAGTATTCTATGAAAAATACCATAATCATAAATAAGCATGTTTAATCGTATTGTAAAAATGTTACTCTAATTTTCAGTCAACTTTATAATTTCTTAACAACTTTATACAATCCATTACAGAATAATTGATGACTACTAACACTGGGTATGATTATAATTGTAATCCACTGGTTTAAGTTTAAACAGAGTGAAACATTGAATGTGCCTGACAATAGGGAAGCGATAAATGTATATAAACAACAGCATAAATGTATATTAACATTCATAATGTGTTATGAATCACACATTACTTGTACACCAAATCCTATTATTACGCTTATCAATATGATTAATGATTCACATCACTTTACTTTGACTCTAAGACAACGGCATTATCTATGTACAAATATAACTCCATGTACATTAAATTATACGGACTGTAATGTGTTGGTCACACGATGTAAGTATTTTTTAACTGTATGTACATCCACTCTGGTGATTATATTTAGGTTCTAGGTTCCTTAGCTCACTAGACCTTATGTCATTCGTTAATGACATAAGTCTAAGCCAACTCCGCATTTTATACTATTTCTACATTTTGAGGGCCAAACAAGTATTTTCTACTCATTGTAATATATTTCTTATATCATGTAATTTATTTACAACACCAAGTACACCAATTTATTATTCACATCTATTTGCCTCTTTTCTTCTACTTCAGCTCATTCAACTCTACACCTCCATTTTATACACATTGCATGCTCCGGAGAGGGGCAAACTAAGATTGCATGATGAGTATGGACCAACAACTGGATACACAATGATTCATACCAATTGTAATGTGATGGCTATAACCTGTAACTTATTTACAACAGGATGTACATTCATTCACTTATTAAATGTGACTTTGTTTCTCTCATCTTTCCCTAATTTCTCTCAACGCTTTACTTCAATACATACCTTGGGTTATCGGATAACTACTATCCCGTTATAATCTATCACTGAAAAACTGAATGCTCACATGCATACATATACGGTACAAATTGACTATTCTTCACAACCAATATTATGTTTTTAGTGACTCTAATTTCATCTCTAAACCCTGAACCGATGTGCATTGGGTGACAAATGATTGGCCACATTTGAAGACGATAGTTCAGTCACGTTACCTTGATATGCTAATACGCTTTAAGTTTCATCGAACTCGGAGAGCGTAGTTGCTTCTGCTATTAAGTTGCATGACTGAACCAAGTTCGTCAGATGATGAATTTTCTCTGTTTCCTTCTACCTTCACTTTGCTTCCTGTTTGCTTCTAATAGTTTGCTTCAGTTTGCTTTATAATACTTTGCTTCCCACCCTTCAGATTGCTTCATAATAGTTTGCTTCACGACCTTCACTTTCAACCAAGTTTGCTTCAATTTCCTCACTGTTTGCTTTCTCTGTTAGCAAACAGTTCAGTCCTGCAACTACTCTCCAGTCGTTTGCTTCCTTGGTTTAGTCGTTTACTTCTGCTATTAGGGACTCGGAGAGCACCCTTTTCGATCAATTTTGTTTTGTGCAGCTATTTCAAATTTTCAACTTTCAAAATTTCAACTCTTCCGTTTGCTCCGTCTATTACCGTTTGGGCTAGTGCAATTTTTTTACAGGGCAGGGACGGTCATCAGCATGACCGTCCCTGAACGGTCCCCTCACAAACACAACTGTGAGGACTAGAAATAACCACGTCAGGAAGGCTAAAAAATGATGGGTGCTCCAAAAAAAAATTGCACTAGCCCAAACGGTAATAGACGGAGCAAACGGAAGAGTTGAAATTTTGAAAGTTGAAAATTTGAAATAGCTGCACAAAACAAAATTGATCGAAAAGGGTGCTCTCCGAGTCCCTAAAAACTAAAAACTAAAAACTATATTATTTATTATGCCTACCTTGTTCAAATTGTCATCTACTGCCCTAATTATCAAGTTTCAAACAATCAATTTCTTTTTCTATTTATCCTATGATTATGCAAATACGAGTTAACTAACAAACAATAGGTAGCAATTTCACAGTATATACACGCAATATTACATATCAGTTTTGCTACTGTAACTTCTAACTCACTACATGTAACAGTTATTCAACATGATGTCCAACCTCACTAGCTAAAAAACCTTGTAATCTTTTTCTCTGCAATGCGTCTACCAATCTAAGTGTTATGTTATTTTACTCCGCATAACAATTTTACTCTGCGTCATTATATATTTATATGAAATGTCTCTTATACAACATGCTGTAAGAGACATTCTTAAGGGAACTATCTTTGTAACACTTTTTTTTTTGTTTTGTATGTCGCCATGAATAGTATGTACAAACCACACATAACATATAATCTGCACACAGGCACTGCTAACCAACAAAATCTATAAGAAATTCATAAAAACAACCAGTACCCCTGTTATATAATAACTACACTATTGCTACTAATGTGAGAGTTATGACCCCTATTTATCCCTTCCTAACAACTCCCTCTACTAATTGGTTTGGAAGTTCTCCTTTTCTTTTTGACAAACACTTGGTGTTCAAAATTTCTCTCTACTTTACTCTCCCATATGGCCCATGAACAGATCTAATTTCTAACATCTATATATTTTCGACAACCATGATATAAAATCATGTGATGCTATTCACCAAACAATAGAAATTATGTCATTAGTTTGCAATATTGTTACCTGTAGGGTTTATGTAAATGCGATTGGGTGTCACTGTTTTGGACTCCATCATCTTTAGCTTCATTGTTCAGTCCTAACCTTCCCCGACCCTTTATAGATATTAGGCCTTCAAGAATTTCTCCTTCAATAGGTAGTTCTTCCTTTTTCTAAGTGTATTTTGACTGCTCTTCTTCTGCCCCTTGTCTGCAACTTTCCTATTCATTGATTGTATTTTGCCTTAGTTCTAAAATTGTAGATGAATATTGACAACTTTTTGGAGGGAGACTAAAAAAAATTTTCGTACCAAGAATTGAAATGAAGTCATAGCGAGTCAATTAGGTGGGATTTTGTGGATGGGAGTTTCAATGGTTGGTAACGGAGGCGTTAAGAATTGAAATGAAGTCATAGCGAGTCAATTAGGTGGGATTTTGTGGATGGGAGTTTCAATGGTTGGTAACGGAGGCGTTAAGCTCAGACAGTTTTTAGAAATTTTTTTCCTTGCTCATTAATCAAAATGACTCTGTTTTGAGCTTTGCCAACGTGGATTAATGATGGCCACTTCTTCAGTTTTGTGAGGGGACCGTTCAGGGACGGTCATGCTGATGACCGTCCCTGCCCCGTATCCGGTTAGTATCATACTCAGCTCTCGTGGCAATCAATGGATAACATCCCAGAGAGGATGCAGAAAAGATTTTCACCTTAGCAAGATGATTATTCAAAGAAATTGAAGAAAATTACGAAAAACTGCAGATTTTATCAAATGCGAGTGACAATACTCGAGGGTCGAGAGGAATTGTAGGTGAGGATGGAGGCCTTAAAGTACAACGTGAGGTGTATACTTTTTTCTTCAGGAAATGGTAGTCTACAAGACTACTGTCAATATGTTAAAGTACGTTTAAGCTACGACTACATTTAATATTGCTCATGAGAGATCGCCTTTGAACCCTTTCTAAAATTCTCAGCCATATGTAAAAGAAAAAAGAAAAAAAATTAAGAGACATCTTACATCCTATAGAGACTATATACATGTCTTCCAATTCTTCTCTCCTGACACATTGGCCGCAATATTGAGAAATGTCAACTTCTGTGGCAAAAATTGAATACATTAGACAGTCTCTCCATCCCGCTTCAAGGTAGAAAGTAACTTCCACGGTCCGTCAAAGACCAGGCGACTCATCCACGAGCAGCTTTTGCTACCCAAGTTAAATCCCTGAGTCATACTAACGGGACTGAAAATCTGAAACATCAGCCATATGCCTTTCCTAGCAAATAAACTACCACTCCTACTATAATAGTAGAATGTTTAATACAGCGGTCCTTCAAATAGGAGATTACTTAAAAAGCAGAGGCATCATCGGACTTCTAAGTGGTGTAGAGGTCATGTTGTTTAATATAACCAATTACTTCATCAGCAGTTAAATATTTCACAGACAAGCCCCTCGAAATGCAGTCCCTGAAAGAAAGTCAACAATTTATCTCTTTTCTTTGAAAACCATTATGAACGGTGGCTACCATCTTAACTGGTAAAAACACACTTAACTTTTTACCTCAATCCTGTTGAACTGATTCCATTTGGCACCACTTCGTCAACAATTTTGATGTTATTCTGTGCAAAACATGGGCAACTAATAAATTGGAAGTACATCAATAAAAAATGGCCCTGTGGTTGCAGGATGGGGAGTAGGGTAAGCAACATGCACCAAATGATGTCCAAACACTTTATTAAGCTCCTTGCAATGAAGCCCAGTTCTCAAATGTCAAGTTTGGCTTATCTGAAAACCACTTGAAGTAACTGCTAAACATATACGGTCCAGATATTTGAATAAAAAAGTCCAATTTATATATATTCTGCAACTTACAACTCCAATAAAATTATTTTCGATTCTGATTATTAGACATAAGACTATGGGCGGCCTTAAATATAGGTAAATGTAAATGCAGACAATGAACATAGCACATGCCCATCAATAAGTTGAACAACAATTGTGGGGACAAAATACAAACAAGAGTTTTATGAGCTAAAATTGTACTTTAGGTTACCTTAAAATTGTTCAGAATGTCATCATCATTGATCATCTTCTCAACATCCTGACCATGTCTGCGAATGCAAACCAACCCAAAATCTCTGCATATTGCCTCAACCTAAGTATATAAAAGTGAACTGATTACATGAATTTCTACCACTAACAATCTCGTAATTTGTACTGAGTTGCCTTCTGGAATAGTGTTTCAAGTGCATCTTACAAGTTTCAATATTCTTTTCAGCATAGCTCATAAAATGTACATATTTTATTGCCATTACAGTATTTAAACATTTTTTCCTCTCTCCTATATGTGTCTCTCAATTAGAGGTAACAAAATAATCAAGAAGAACATTACTAACATCAGACTTTTATTCCCTAAGATTAAAATAAAATCCCAATTTCATGCTTCTGATGGCAAAATGATACTTAAAGGATACCACTTAATAAATGAAATTAAGGAACCCAAAATGGATACCATTCCTGGTTGTTGAGGAAGTTTTTAATTGCTATACATATGAAGCCCACCTGATCACGGATCCATACTCCAGGGGTGCTGAATGATTCTACCAGGTCAGAACCACATATTAGCATGACCTTAAGGGTACCTGCAGACAATCAACTGCTGGTAATGAAATGACCACCGATCTAGATAAAAGACCGAGAGCTGAATCATACAACTCTATCCTGATGAGCACAAAATTGAAAGGCGTACAGATTTTAAGCTTTACACCTATAGCTTAGGGTAAGCTATTGACAACTTGAGTTCCTTCAAAGATAACCAAGCTTAAGCTAGTCAACGTGGGAAACATGCATGACAAGAAAATAATGAAATATTCCTGGAAAACTGAATAAAATGTCAAAACTCACCACTGAATATCCGGCCACTCTCACATAATGCACTCTTGATTCTGGACAAAACTGTCAATGTCCGTTGATAAGTACTCTGATTTGCCTGTAACATCATCAAGGGACAATAAAAGACCAAAGTACAGTTTATGAAGTTTCCAATCAAAATTCAATTAACAGACGGAACATGCTTGTCCAAAATAATTGTCCAAAAAGGATGTGACTGCTAATTTTAAGAGAGAGAAGGGAGACCTCCCAGGGGTCCACCATCACAAACTCAGAACTTCTGCAGGCCAAATTGCACATTGCAAGACGATGTTCAGCAGATATGAGACCCTATCATGAAAATGAAAACAAAAACAATTCTTAGCTAAAACACTCAGATGATCATAGAAAAACAAAATATTAAGTTACAGTAAAAAAGCACTGAGGTGTATTAAGAGCATGAAAACAAAGATGTATAGAAGATTTGACTAGAAATTGTCCCCAAAAATCATTGAAAAAGAAATTATAATCAGTAGTCACTCATGTATGCTACAGGTCTTAAGAATTATATTAGTATTAGCTGGGCCATTTGTGACTGCTCAAGGAGTTATAATGCTAAAAAGTCCAAAAGGATTCTTCATTTACTTTCTTTCTCCTTCTAATTCCAGCAATAATTACTAAGATTGTAATCAGTTATCCTTTTGAAAGTTCAACTCATTATGTAAGGACAGAAATATTCTAATATATATATTCTTTAAAAGATCAGCATCAATTTATACAAAAATCCTGCTACCAACATCCCAAATCAATATGATTTGATTGCTTAGTTATAGATTCTATACCTTTTTCTTATAAGCATCATTTACAGGTGACATATAACCTCCAATTACGCAAAACCCAGCTGAATTTAGTGCGTCTCTTGCCAACTCTAAGCATTAAAAGAAATTAATCAATACAGGCTATATGATGCATTCTATGAAAAAATTATAAAACATAGCCACCAAATTAATACTCTTTATGCACATATAGGTGTAATTGCTGATCATCCCCAATTCCTAGATTCTAATGAATTTGAAAGAAGAACTTTAATCTGCCTGGATAAATTGCCAAAATTTTAGAATACTGACCGAAACACCGCATGTGCATGTATGTAGGAGGGTTGAAGCTTCCTGTCGATACTAGAACCACATATGTTTTCCTGGAGACAAAAGAAATAATCTATATAAAGAGCACATCTATATAAGGATGAACAACAGCAGACAAGAAAATGGGCAATCTGGATAAATAACGCTGTGCATAAAAGGATAATCAAATCTTTAACTATTTTTCTATAATATTTGAAATACACACATACTAACAAAAGTAAACGAAAGACAATGCTAAGCTGTTGTATTGCAAAATAAGCATGTTAATCTACAATATCCAAGCAAAAATCAGAACTCAGTTATGGGGAATAAAAGCTTTGGATGAGTATACAGTCAACATATCAAATGTTCCTAAAATTTCAATAATGAAGCCTAAGAAGTGAGGGAACGAAGATGGCCCAACGAGCTTCTGAACTGCTACCAACTTACTAATAGGCCATCCCCTATATCCTCAAGTCTTTACAAAGGTGCGCAAGTGGCCAATGGGAGAAGACTCTGAAGAATACAATAAATAGTGCGACAAAAGGAGAAAAAGATGACTAGGCCCTGCATCTGGAGTTTAACTTTGGCGCAAATTAGTGCACTGACTTGACAAAAACACTCACACCCCACACATGGGATATTACATAAAATCAGAGGTGCTATTTATGAACAAACATACATACTCAACAATTCTATCAAAAAAGCTTACTTGATTTCAGAACTTTGTGGATCATCCTGTGGATCGATCAACCCTAAACACAATTTATCCATTGGCAATGTCATCTCCACAGATACTACCGCCAAAGAATCCGGAACGAAAAATAATGCGAATTGAACTCAACAGAATTCTGTTAATTCAATTCAAGTTTCCTCAATTCAACGATCATTGGGTGTTACTCCAATTGAATATTTACCCCGAATTCGGAACCCTAGTCGGATTATCAAAATTCGATGACTAATATGAGAAGGCAGTGAAAGTGGGAAAGGAATTCGTGCATTAAACGGAAGAAAAAATGGCATAGAGGATTGAATCGAATTCAATTTTTGACTGGAGGGTTATATATAGGTTTAAAGTTGGGGATATATTTGGAACTTTAAGAAAATGATCCAGGTGGGCGAGGTGAAGAAAAAGAATATTCGGAGAATGAAGCAAGCCAACTAGCCAGGAGGACGACGGAGAAACGCGGGGAAAGGAAGGGCTAGTTCGTAAAAATGAAATGAGGAGGGAACGTGAAATGGCATTTCTGGGCTTTTGGCTTGGAGGCTTTTTGGTAATGCCCAGTAAAATCTTTTGACTTCAACGGGTAAGGTGAATGAATATGGGAGACGTATGTGAACGGCAATACGGGCTCATTCCCTTTCTTTTTTTTTTTTCTTTTTTTTTTTTGGGTAAATTACTTATAACTAGGGCCTAGGGGTGATATCGAATCAAGTCAAACTCGAGTATCGCCAAATTTGAGTTCGACTTCTCGAGAGAGTTGTTTGAATAAATTTTGAACTCGACTCGATGTAATACCAGGAAGACTCAAACTTGACCCGATATAACTCGAGAAGTTAGTAAGTTTGATATCGAGTTTGAACTCGACAAATGATTAGGATCGTACTTATTGCAAATAATTAACTTAAAAAGGTAATTTAATTATTTATAATAAATTAATTATATATTATACCCAGTACTCGATAGAATTCGACAAGTTCTCGAGTATATGATATACATATTCGAACTTGACTTGAAAGCTCAATCAAGTAGCTCGAGATCGACTCGAACTTGGCATTAATCGAGTTCGAGTCAAGCAGTTAACCGAGCTACTCGTGAATTCGAGTCAAGTTGTTCAATTGAATTGCAGCTCTACTTATAATTTCCTTGTAATTTTTATATAATGTTTGATGGTCTCCCTAAGGTTTCAAAATTGTCACATAACTCCCAATAGTTTTATGTGATGTGGAAAATGGATGGAATGTATAATTAATTACAGCATTTATACCAAACACACTATAAAACACGTGAGATAAAATCTTAATCATCATATGACCACTTATAGTTTGTATAAATATTCAATTTTTCCCCCTGTAATTTTTTTTCATTTATCCCCGTAATCCCCCTATACAAGTTTACCAAAAAAAGTGAGAAGAGAAAGGGGAGAACATCTAGAGTGCAAAAGCATATTTTCATTCATTGGTAGAAAGTGCAAACCCTTGTTTGGATTACCATTTTTTTTAAAAAAAAATACTTTTTCTATGAACATAATTTTCAATTATCTTTTTTACTTTAGTTACATCAAAACACTATAGTACATTTTTTTTTAGAAAAACTCTAGAAAATAACAATTCAAATGAAGTAATTTGAATAGAAAAATTAATTTAAAAAGCCAGAGAAAAATGGATAATGTTTTGAAACTATTAGTTATATAAATAGAAAAAAAATTGAATAGAAAACTTTTTTTGTCATGTATGTAAATTAATTACTTATTGTAGCCTACATGATCACATAAATGTATAAGTAATAAAGTAGTATTATCCCACATGAAAGAACAAATTAAGTACTTGTATGCATGTGGTCAACATATCATGACCAAAGTGATGTACCTAATTAATAAATCACAAGATTCAATGACCAAATTCATGAATCTAACTTAAGTGATAAATGAACTTATCCATACATTCATGAAACCTCAAATAAATGAATGTATATACATTGATGACTGTGCATATACATCCTTGAAACAAGTGGTTGATGGTAAGATTCATCTTATCAGGTAGGAAGAATTAATGAGTCTTATTAATGATCATGATAGGATGAGTCACTTATGCTATAAATAGGCTCTTGGTCCTTCTCTCCACTGAAATAGGTTGTGAGAATTATCCCATCACTAGAGCAAACGTAAGAGAGGGTAGGAGAGGGAAGATTAAGGATTGAAATCATATAACTCCAACTAGAGACATATTCAATAGCACAAAGTATGTCTTAATTCTTTCTATTCATGATTTACAAGTCATAGAAATGCATGACATGATTTAGGTATTTAAACCTTGATATATCATTATATTTTTATCTTTAATATGCATTATTGTATTTGCATACTTATTAAATATGGAACAAGTTTTAAGAAAATATTAAAACACTCTCTTGGGTATCTCACATCATGCATCATGAGAAAATTTATATTTACCTCACGTAATTTGTTGTGAGAAATATCCATATACAGTTTTTGGACAATCTAAAATGGCCTTATAAACTATGAACAAAATGGCCCAATTGTGATAAAGGTTATAAGGTTATTTTTATTTCATGATTCTATTAAAATTACCCAAAGGTATTTTACATTCTATATTCATGAAAGAGCTGTTATATAACCCAAAGGTGTATACCATCTCTATTTTGGGACACTAAGTGAATTACTATTACTTACTTATAGAGTGAATTGCTAGCATGTCTTGAGTCTACCCAATTGTAGGACAAGATGATGCAATTGATTGCTCTTTAAAGTGAATTGCTAGCATATCTTTATTTTGTCCAAAGATAGAATAAGATGATGCAATTGACTACTCTACTAATGACATATCTCATGACATGATTTGTGTAATTTCAGCTATCAGTCTAACTGCACTTTTGAGAGTAACATCCAATATTCTGATATTGAATGGGTCTAACTATCCTAATTGGCATGAGCAAGTGCTCATTTCTTTGGGATGTTTGGATTTAGAACTATGTCTCCGAATTGATGAACCTGCACAATCTACTCTTGAAAGTTCACAAGCTGAAAAGGCTCTTTATGAAAGTTGGGAATGTTCCAACCGTTTAAGCCTCATGATCATCAAAAGCAAGATTGCAAAACATATACGAAAATCAATTCCAAAATCCACAAGGACACATGCATTTCTGGCTTCTATGAGGCAACAATTTTCAGCAACTAATAAAGTTTTGGCAGATATGCTTATGGCAACTTTGACTACTAAAAAATATGATGAAGAAAGTGGTGTGTCTGAGCACATTATGGAGATGAATAATTTGGTTGAACAGTTTAAGTCTATGGATATGACGATTTCTGAATCCTTTTTAATGCAATTCATTCTCAACTTACTCCTTTCTCAATATAGTCCATTCAAGATTAACTACAACACTTAAAAAGATAAGTGGGCCATAAATGAACTCATCTCTATGTGTGTACAAGAGGACGAGAGATTAAAACGAGAAGTATTGCGAATGGTCCAATTGGTATCACAAGGTCATAAAGGAAAAAGGACCTAGAAAGACCAAGAAAAAGAGTCACAAGACACCAAATAATGAAAATCAAGAAGAAGCATCTAATCATGATTGTTTTGAATTTCGATGTCATTTTTGTAAAAAGAAGGGACATAAGAAGAAGGACTGCATCAAATGCAAGGCTTGGTTTCAGAAGAAAGGTAATCTCTTTTTATTTATGTGTTCCGTAATTTAATTGATGTTCCTTCTAATACTTGGTGGCTTGACTCTGGTGCAACTATTCATGTTTCAAATAATATGCAAGGATTCCTTACAAACTGCCAACCAATGACAACCTAAAAGACAATTCTGATGGGAAACAAGACTGGCTAAAAGTTGAAACTGTTGGGACCTATTGCATTATTCTTAGTTTCGGAAATTTGCTAGATCTTCTTAATACCTTTTATGTACCTCATTTTCTAGAAACTTATTATTCTTGTCTTGTCTTGATTTGGAAGGCTATGTGTTCCATTTTGAGAATAATTCCCTTACTCTTTCCAAAAATGGAAATTTCATTGGGAATGGCATTTTACGCAATGGGTTGTATAAACTAAACCTTGATCCTACTTTTTTTGAATCACTTTTGTCTCTACATATAAATACTAATGTTTGCACCAAACATAATTGTGATAATGAAATTTGATCTATGTTGTGGCATAAACGCTTCGGTTATATTTCTAAAGAAAGACTTGAGCGGCTTGTAAAAGATGGATTTTACCAACTCTTGATTTTACAAATTTTGGTAATTGTGTAGATTGCATTAAGGGCAAGCAAACTAAAAATACTAAGAAATGTGCCATAAGAAGTTCAGGATTACTTGAATTAATACATAAATATATCTGTGGATGGTTTCCTCCTTGTATAAGTGGAAAAACATATTTGATCGCCTTTATTGATGATTTCTCACGTTATAGTTACATCTATATAATTAAAGAAAAATCTAATGCTTTGAATATGTTTAAGATATACAAAGAAGAAGTTGAAAATCAATTAGATAGAAAAATTAAAGTTGTAAGATCTGATAAAGGTGGTGAGTATTACGAAAAATATAATGAATATGGTCAAAATTTGCAACCATTTGGTAGATTCCTTCGAGAAAATGGAATTGTAACTCAATATATATATCAGGAATGTCTCAGCAGAATGGTGTATATACGTAAATAAATTGAACCCTATTTGATATGGTTTGAAATATGATTAGTGACACAAAACTTCCTCAGTTTTTGTGGAGTGAAGCAATTAGGACAGCCATATATATTTTAAATCGGGTTTCAACCAAAGTAGTTTCTAAAAGCCCTTTTGAATTATGGGTTGGTAGAAAATAGAGATTAAATCATATACATATTTTGGAGTTGTCCTACTAAAGCAAGACTTTACAGCCCACATGAAAGGAAGTTGGATTCAAGAATTGCTAGTTGTTTCTTCATCGGCTATCCTAAAAGGTTCAAAGGATATCAATTCTATTGTCTTAATCCTCATAATAGAATAATACAAACAGATAATGCTAAGTTCTTTGAAAGTGAAATTTCTTGTGCGTGTCATTATACAAGGAAAGTGGAATTGATTCCTGAAATAAAGAATCCAATAATTCACTGATTATAAAAACAGGAAAAAGTGAAAAAGAACATAATCTATCACATAATGAGTCAAATCGTGACATCTCAAATCCCACTATTGAAAACACTAATAATCATTTAGACACTTTTCAAAGGTCAAAAAGACAAGAAAAATGTAATTTTAAATGGTTATCTAATGTACCTACAAGAACTTAGCGATATTGGTATTGACGAAGATTCGAAAACGTTTTTACAAGTCATAAATAGTAGTGAATCTAATAAATGGCTGGATGCTATGAAAGATTAAATGGCATCTATGAAAGCCAATGATGTCTAGGAATTGGTTAAATTACCTGAAAGTTTTGTACATTTTCAATGTAA